GTTGTTTCCTAACCTCCATTGTAAATCCCTCCCGCGTCCTGAATTATTTCGTCTATATGGGCATTGACTCCCCCCCACCCACCTCCGGCCCCCCCAGCAAAGAGAAATATTGAATAAGCTAATGAGGTTGTTCTGAACTGAACATTTGACTGTCTGGAGATAGGGCTGGTTTTTTCACATGTCAGGGGTGGATGTTACCGACGTCCGTTAGGCAGAGGCCAGGGAGGCTGCCGGACGCCCCGGAAAGCACAGGACAGCTCCCTAAAACTCCTACCCGGTCCCCGTTTTTAATAGGGCCCAGGTTTAGAGCCTCTAACCTCGAGTTTGGTGTTTTCTGTACCCAGGTGGAGGAGCTCACTCTCTAATGAAGTAGCTACGATAATAGTTTGGTTCTTGAACAAGGCTTTGTACAGGGAGACTTCAAGGAGTTCATGGAAAAATAGGATTAAGATACAAGTTTATTTTGGTGTAAAAATGTTCAATTCCAGGCATAATCCTGTTATAATACACATATCCCATGAGCTTTTTGAATACCACTGCTATGTACACTGCTAGGGTTCAGTGTATTTTCGTCTGATCTTCAATTTCATGTTGATTTGAAGTATTGGTTACATTTAGATGTATTTAAATTATTTAAGACGTATATACCTTCTTTCTATTTTGACAGTTTTCAGTGTTTATATGTTAAATAGTTAATATGTCAATCAAATATTTTAATTAATTTAAATATTTAATTTTTAAAATGTCAGGTTTTCAGTATATATGTATATACAGTTTCTTTAAGTAATGGTTTCTGGTTTACATATATTTGACATATTTGTAGGGAACAGTATGGTTTTTTTAAAGCATTCATACCATGTATAATGAAATCTAAGATCTATACCTATTGATATTCAACATTACGTTATTTGATATATATATTAAATTACCCATATTTTTTCTGTGGTGGTACACTAACCCTTAAATTCTTTACCTTATTGAAATGCATTCTTGTGTCCCTTAAAATTTTTCTCATTAATCTCACTAGCTGTCCACACACACACCCCAAGCAGCTTCTGGTATCCTATTTCTCCCTCTTTCTATGCTTTCAATTCCTTCAATTTCTGCCACAGAGTACAAACATTTGGTGTATTTTAAGCAAGGATATATATAGTATTTGTCTTTCATAGTCTGACTTATTTAACTTAACATTATATCGTCTATATTTATCACTTGGTGTCAAATGAAAAGTTTTTGTTGTTATTTGTGGCTGAATAGTATTCATAATGTATAGCTACTATATTTTCCTAATCCTTTCCTCAGTTGTTGGGTACTAAGGTTAATTCCATTACTTAGCCGTTGCAAATAATGCTGTAATAAATATAGATGTGCCCATATGTCTGCAAGTATTTTATTTTTCCCTCTGGGTAATGTACCTAATAGGGATATTGTTGGGCCATATGGTAGTTGTGTTTGTAAATTTTTGAGGCACCTCAATACTGTTTTCCATAGTTGCTATAGTAATTTACATTCCCACCAAAAGTGTTCGAGGGTTCCCTTTTCTCTACAACCTTGCAAGCACCTGCTGTTCTTTGTGTTCTGGTCAAAGTCATTCTGGCTAGGATTAGGTCATACCTTATTGTGATTTGAGATTTGCATTTCCGTTATAATAAGAGATATTGAACATTTGAAAATATACTTTTAAATTATTTGTATGTCTTCCTTTGATAGTTGTCTGTTCAGATCAATTGCCAATGCATTGATTGGATTATTAGCTTTTTGTGAGTGAGCTGTTTGAGTTGATTTTATTTCTTCTTCAAATTTGAAGGAAGGTTTTGCTGGGTGTAGTGTTCTTGGTTGAAGCTGTTTTTCTTTCAGAATTTTGAATAGATTGTCTCATTCCCTCCTGACCTGTAATGATTCTTCTGAGAGGGCTGAGGTTAGGGGTAGCTTTGATGGCAACTTGGTGCTGATCTCTAGCTATTTGAGGGGATTTTTCTTTATCTTTGATGTTTTGACAACAATGTGCCTTGGAGGTCTATTTAGCATACGTTGAATTTCTCAGAGCTGGATGTCTGTATCTCGCTGTATGTTTGGGATTTTTCAGTTACTATTTTATGATATAGGTTTTTTATGTCTTTTCCTTTCTCATCACTTTCTCAGATGTCATTATGCATATATTTCTTTTTCAAACTGTGTTCCTTAATTTACGTATGTTATCTTCATTTTTAATGGTTATTTTACTTTTTTTTTAATTGTTGGAGGGTGTGTGTGCTCAGCTTAGAGAGAGACAGACACGGAGACAGAGGGAGGGAGAAAGCATTCCCCAGTTGTGTGTGGTCACATTGCAGTCCCTTTTCTTCCATTTCTCCATCTGGTCAGGATTTGGAGCATGCATGCACATGATCCTAGCGTATTTTTCAAGTTGTCTAGGGCAGGATTCAAACTTCTGCCAGTCATGTGGCATCTGGGTCCCTTAATCACTAGGCTATTGTGTCAGCCCTTTAATAGAATTTTTTTTTCTTTTGGGGCCAGCAGATGGCATAGTGGTTACGTTGCTGGACTTCCACATGGCCGATCACAGTTCAAGTCCCAGACCCGGCAGCTTGAAACTCACACCAGGTGCATGTGCATGTGCACATGTGCTCAAGATCCTGGGAGGAGAATGAGGCATAAGGGATTATGGCATGGCCAGCCCCCTGCAGGGTGATTTCTCACTTTTCTTCTCACTGTCTTTGTCTCTCTCTCTTAGGCAAGCGCATGTGCCCCAAGGAAAAAACCTCTAAAAAAATATATTTTTTCCTTTTGACAGTTTCTTATTTTTCTTTTCCTTTTTAAAAAATTTTCTAGAGGGCACTTAAATTTGTATCTTCTTCTTAAATTTGATTCTTTCTTCTGCACGATCTAACCTGTTGATGATGCTCTTTTATTTCCTGTATTATATTCTTTATTTCTGTTTGATTTTTTTTTTTTTTGGAGAGGATTTTGCTATAGGGCACGTGTGCTCACCAGAAAGACAGAGAGAGACAGAGAGATAGAAAGCGAGAAATCACCCCCCAGGGGGGATGGCTATGCCGCAATCCCTTCTCCTCCATTCTCCTCTTAGGATCTTGGGCATGCACACACACGCGCCTGGATTGAGTTTAAGTCACCGGGCCCGGGACTCAAACCGTGGTCAGCTACGTGGGAGTTCAGCGACATAGCCATTACACTAACTGCTGGTCTCACTGTTTGATTTATTTTTAAGATGGCTCTCTATGGAATCTCTCTTTGGTGTCATGCATTGTTTTTCTCATCTTTTGGAATTGTTTTATTTTGATGTCCTGTACTTTTTGAATTTTGTTATCATAAATATCTTAAAACCCATTTCCAACATTGCTGTGATTTTTTTTACGTTTTGCCTGTTATTGGTGCAGAGTTATTGTGCTCCTTTGAGAGAGCTTTATCCTGTTTATTTTTTTCCACATTTCTTCTCTCTGCTTTTATTTTATTTTATTTTATTTTATTTTATATTTTTGGCATCTGATTCAGTATTTGTTTTCTTCTAATTCCTGTATAGGGATTTTTAATAGTAGTGTTTTTAATTTTATTTGGGCCTTTATTTATTGAAGACTTTGTATATTTTCACAGAAACTAGTGGGGGCACAGAGGACTTCTGCATCAGTGTTTTTGTATTCTAGGTGAGGTTAGTGTGGTGCATTGCTGTTTTACTTATAGAGGAGATGGGTTCCCTCGAACCTATGGCAATTGCTGCCCTGTAAGGGTGGTTTCTCAAGTTCCCAAATCCTGTGTAGGGATCAGGATCTTCTTTCAGAGAAGATAACCAAGTGAAAATATTTAACTAAATAAAAGGAATGGTCTCTGCTTTGGATGGGTTGCACACAGAAAGGATGTAGGTAGATGTTAGTGGAGAAGTTGTGACTAAGGTGATGGCTTGTTATTTAGTTATGTGTGATCCCTGGAGACAGAGGAAGCTATCTGGTCTGGTGACTGATTCTCTCCACAACCATGACATCTCTTAAGTGGTTCAATGCAGGCAGGCATGGCAGGGGTTGTTGTTGGTATTGGAATGGAGTGAGCATGCTCTCTTGCAAGGCTGTAGGGCAGGGTGAGAATTATACACCTTTACCTTGTAGCTAGGGTGCATGCCTGTCCATTGGGCCTCAGAGCCAGACTTTAGGACTGTGTGGGAATTGCATTCAGCTGTTCAAGCTATGCTACTTTGTTGGTGCAAGACGTGTGGATTCAGCAGCACTAGCTGCATTGGTTTGGTGGCGCAAGAAATCCATGTCTGGCAGCTCAAGTTATGTGGATCTTTCAGCCCATGCATGTCTTTGCAGTTTAGGGGGCAGGGCTGGAGCCGCCACTCATCTACTGGGCGGGAACAAGGGCTAAACAGTGCACATCTGCCCATGCTTTTGCCTGTAAGTCCACTAGCACAAGCTGCGTGTGCACTGATTGGCCTGTGTGCTGCACAGCTGGAAGGAGGAGCTAGTACTGCACCTGGTTGTGGCCCAGTGGGAGGTCCTGTGCTGGCCTACAAGACTGGGCCACTGTGGTGGAATGCAGGTGAAGTGGTGCCTTTTTTCTTCCACTTTCCCAGAAGGGAGATCCTTGGCACTCTTCTCTTTGTCACTTACCCCTTCCCACTCTACCACACATACTTACTATTCAGGGAAGACTGGAGAAGCTGCTCTGTATCAATATGTATCAACTGTCTATGCTCTATGGCAGAAATTAAATAATTTGAAACTACAATAGCAGGGAGGGCAAGTGCAGATACCAGAGACTATATAGGAGAGTGGAAAGTAAGGGATGAGGGGCAGGGGTTCAGCAAAAAAAATTAACAGACAAAGTTATTTGTTAAAGATGAAATAGATGACAATATTTTTTATTTGATTGACATGCACTTCATGCATGCTTTGAAAAGCCATGTTGTATTTTTTTTTTTTTTTGGAACTCCATTTCTGACCCCCACCCCCTTTTTTTGGTAACAGGTAGAGGAGACTCTTCTGCAGCAGATACACTGAACCCTACTGGACAAGGCGATGATGTGGCTGGATTTGAGCAAAGAGAACACCAATCCTCCACAGCAACAAACCAGAGTAATCTTAGTGACATCAGATCTAGTGAGAGAATGCGTTTAAGCCCTAATAAAGGGAGACGAAATTTAGGCAATGAATATGCATCATCTACTACATTTTCAAGGGAGGAAAATGTGCAAACCATCCATAGCCAAATGGAAAGCACATTATCTGTATCAACACTTGCAAGGCCATCTACTTCAGAACAACGACATACACCCGAAGAAGTCACGGAAGTGCCATCTATCGGAACCCAGAGACGAAGCAGAATGTGGAGCCCTGACCATAGGCGGATCAGAGCAAGACCTGGACACAGATCTCCAGCAACTTCACCGAGTGGACTTTTTCAAAGATATTACATGCCACCTGATAGTTTAGAGCAGTCTATTGCAGCTGAGACTGAGATATCTTCTGAAATTCAACAACATGAGACATTTAGACCACAACTAACTGAACCTGAGTTGCAGAGTAGACATCCTTTTGCATCATCCAGAGCAAGGGGTGCTGTTCCAAGAGAGTATTCTCTAGAAACAGCACGTGCTCGTGGAAATGTAGGATTGAGACAGAGACGTCTAACCAGACTCGTAGATCTTCAAGTCACAGTTTATCGGGGCGAATTTGTACCAATAGACAGGTTAGCTAGTAGAATCCAGTTACTATCTGAGACACCAGACAATACTGTCACTTCAGAAAGTGAACAAGAGAGTCCCAGAAATATTTCTTCAGATTCTGAGCAGGCAGATGTGAGACCTCGCAATACCATCAGATTCCCTTCAGCAGCTCAGAGCTCATCAGGGCAGATGTCAGAATTTGGTGCATCCAGCAACCTTATGGATAGTGATAGTGATTTTGAGTCTACTGTGCCACTGCTAAGTCAAGATATAGAAAGGGCACGATTACAGAGTAGAAGGAATGTTGGCACTTATGATGATCCTCTTCTAGAAGATCCTGCCTTTAATCCCAGTTCAGGTCCCCTATTTTTTGGTTCACATTCCAGATATATGTTTAGCTCCAGTTCTAATCTTATATCTAGCTCAAGCTCAAGCAGTGAAAATTCAGATAGTAATCCAGTGATGTTTGAAGCCAGTAGTGAAGGAAGCTTATCATCACGCTCAGCATTGGAGGCCAGGCGAGAAAGTGGAAATAGGGTCCAAATAGCATTTGGTGAGCGTGATGCTCAGCCAGCTCCTAATCCACCTCCTTTTTTTGTTGTAAATGAACCACATTATTACCAACCTATAGGCCTCACCAGACAACAGATTGACAGCTTGGCAGTAAGAAATTTTGATAACACTGATGCATTAAAATCCTGTAGCATTTGCATCACAGAATACAGAGAAGGGAGCAAGCTACGCATACTACCTTGTTCTCATGAATATCATGCCCATTGCATTGATCGCTGGCTGTCTGAAAACACTACCTGTCCTATTTGTCGTAGGAGGGTACTAGAGTCTAGTGATTGAGAAAGTTCCAGATAAAGTTCAAGCGCTCAGCTATATGAAGTGATAGACTAGCTAGTGATAGATTAACAAGTTTTACTTCCCTTAGGTCCCACTTAGAAAGATACTCCAAAATATGCAGAAAGTAACAACTGTAACTGAATTTTTGGTTCCTGAAGAAATACTTGTATGTTCCTCAGTTTCTCTTTCAGAATAAAATAAAATATTAACTGTTAAAAAGTGTCTTACTTGTTACTAAAGATCAATTTTAATCTATGGTGATTCAATTAATTTATGATAGAAATGTAGCAGGTACACTGGGTTGGAATGTTCCTGATTCCATGAGAGAGGTGCCTTAGTATGATATAATCAATTCCACATGGGTCCTAATAGTCTTAACTAGTCATGCAAACCCTAGACATCTCATGGGTCTGTGCTATCTGGGATATAGATGCAAAGAAAGAGCAAGCAAGGTACTTAAGATTTAAGAATTTTATTAGTCATTCACATAAAGTTTTAAAATTCATAACAGGCTGTGAAAAGCTATAAAACTCTTATATCCCCAGCATTTATCTCATCTCTTCCTACTACCTGAAGTTCCTTCCATTGTCCACTACCAGTGTCTCATTCTGGTCCAAACTTGGAAAAGGTAATAAAATAGCATTTAATAAAGGGACCACTTACTAAAATATATAGTGAATGAAAATAAATCAGATGATGAAATATCCTTGGCTAGCAACTGTGAGAAACATGTATTATCACTACTGGACTTGAGGAGGCATAGAGAGTTAGTGGTTCATGCAACCCAGAATGTCCTGTAGTTGTGTTAGAGGGCCACCTAACATTATGGCCATAGATGGATCAGAACCAGCCACTGTCTACCTAGTGTTTTGGCATGAGGGACCAGGGAAATATATATCCTTCCCTTTTCTTTCCTCATGCCTTCTAATATCTTGTGGTTTCCTTCCAGTGACCAAACCCAATTTGAAGATTACCTGAAGTCAAGAGAAACTGCTTAGTGAACTCCAGAAAGGTCAGCCCCCGGAGGTTAAAGAGCACGGTAGAGAAGGATGGAAATTTGAAGAGACATCTAGCACATCCCCAATTTTCTTCACACCCAGTCAGTGCATACTTCCTTCTACTTTCTCCTGTTCTTAATTTTCTTCATGACTCAGATATAAGACAAGTATCTCTTTCTCTCTGTCTCTCTCTAATTTTCCTTTACTCAGATCTTTATGATAAAATAGTAATAGCATCTTTAGAAGTTATGAGAAGATGACAGATGACAAGCCCTTAGAATTTATTATATTTCTCTTAAACTTGCCACTCTTAGGTATGTTGTGGCTGTAAACAGCTAAGGAGAAAAGACAGTATAGATGTTTTATTTCATTTTTGCTTCGTGTTTCAATTCATTTTTATAGCTCTCTTTTTATTCACACCTTTATTTTAATAGTCCCTCACTTCTACTTAAGGGTTTTAAGGTTTATAAACTCTTTTTTTTTTTTTTGGAGAGGTTTTTTCGCTATAGGGCGTGTGCGCTCGTCAGACAGACAGAGAGAGACATAGAGACAGAAAGCGAGAAATCACTCCCTGGGGGGATGGTCACGCCACAATCCCTTCTCTTCCATTCTCCTCTTGGGGTCTTGGGCACGCACGCACACGCTCCCGGTGTGAGTTCTAAGCCACCGGGTCTGGGACGCGAACTGTGGTCAACTACGTGGGAATCCAGCAACATAGCCATTACGCTAACTGCTGGTTCCCAAGGTTTATACGTAACTCTTAACCTTTGTGAATGATCCACGTAACTAATGGCTGCTCATAGCCTCCCAAATTATAATCTGAAAGCCATCAAGGTAACACCTGAATTGAAAAAGAAGCCTAGCTAATTCAGTTATTCCCCCCCCCAGTTAAATTAATATCATGTGACCATGGCTATATAAAATCCAATTTTTGATCAACCTTCCTTCCCAAATATCATGGATTTTTTTTCTGATTTTAATTTGGCTGTAAAACTAAACTTCTTGATTTTTTATTGATTTTTCTTATGATATTGTCCAGGAAACTTTGCTTCAAATTATTGATGTTGGTTTGAAAGAAAGTACATTGTATTATAATCTAAAGCAAAAGTCAAAATTTTGGGCAATATGTCATCTGTGTGAATGCACAGTGTTAAGTATATACCAGATCTGAGAATTTAAAGTCAGTGGGACCAGCAGATGGCAAAATGGTTATGTCGTTGGACTCCCACGTAGCTGACCAGGGTTCAAGTTCTGGACCCAGAGGCTTAAAACTCAGGCCAGGTACATGTGCATGCATGCCCAAGATCCTGAGAGGAGAATGGAGGGGAAGGGAATGCAGCATAGCCATCCCCCCTGGGGGTTATTCCTCACCTTCTGTCTCTGTCTTTCTGGTGACCTGGAGTTGACATGACCTAATCAGGTGAGGTCTTAAAAGACATGGAGAAGATGCCTGGTCCAGATTAGGATGGCTTATTAACTCCTCCTCCTCTCCTGTAAGCACAATTACATTATCTGGGAATAACGAGATAACCAAAGGATAAGTCTGTGTAAAGACAAAGAGGGTGGATGTGTTAGGGACTCTCAGAATGGCTGGACAGCACTATGGCAGGGCATCATATGATTTTCTCCTATACCTCAAAAGAAAAGGTGAACTCAGGCCCAGCATTTCTGAACTCCCAAGTTAGTAACAGAAAGTGGCTCATGTAGGTTGTCCCTCTACTAGATCAAATGGGTGTCCCACTGAAAATACCAGGTCAGCTCATCAGAAGCTATAAGAAGCAACTACTGGAAACAATGCTCAGGGAAAGCACTCTCTTCCTCAATGGGCTCGTGACTCCCCTCCTCAACCCAGACATACTGGGTGGCCATGGGTACCAGTGGAAAATATTTCATCACAAAGAGCTGGGAAGTGTTCTACTTTCTGGCCTGGCCTGCAACGCCTCTCCCCACCCAGAGACTTCCGGGAACTTGACAGCATCGACCAAAGGAATCTCACTAGAAGAGTCTGTCAAGCTGGTAAGTGTCCTCCATTCCTCACAGGAAGGAAAATCTTGCCACAAGTACCTGGTCCAAGAAGCACTCTTCATCAAAGTGGGCCAGAGACTCCCTTCCCACACCTAAAAGCACCAGACATCCTGGCCTAGGAAAACCCATTCAGCCCCCTTAAGCACCACCAGCAGGGATCAGCAGGACCCCCACCTGCCAACCCAAAAGGCTCTGAAAAAAAGATTGTTATATAACCAGAGTCCAAAATCAGGCCAGGAACAGTGTGCAAGCCTACACAGGATGAATACCTCTTAAATTTCAGGAAAACAAAAACATTTTAAGACTCAGAGTCTCTTAAAATACTAGTCAAAATGTCCAATATATTGCACAATCAAATATCACCCATCATACCAATAAAGAGATTAATTACAACTTGGCAAATGACAATTAAATGATGCCAACTCCAAAATGAATCAGATGTTAGAATTATCTGACAATGTTTTTAATGCCACTAGAATAAAAAGTAATTCAAGCAGTCACAAATTCTCTTGAACTAAATGAAAAAAGAAAATTGCAGTAAATAAACTTAAGTGGTAAAAAAGACCAAATAGGAAATATGATATATAAAAATATAGTAAATGAACTCACTCAACTAATAGCTGCTCACGGCCTCCCAAATTATAATCTGAAACCCTTAAAGGTAGCACCTGAATTAAAAAACAAACCTAGATGATTCAGTTATTTTTGTCCCCAATAAAATTAATATTGTATGACCATGGCTCAATTATAAAGTAGAGATGACAGAAGATAAAATAAATAAACTTGAACGCAACTGATCAATAGAATTTGCCTAATACTAACAATAAAAAGACAATATATTGAAAACAGATGAACAGAGCCTCAGGGATGTAATGAAAAAAACATACCCAAAATAGGTTAGTCTTGTGACATGGTGGTTAAGGGAGCTAGATCCCACATGGCCAACCACATGGTTCAAGTCTAAGTCCAAGCAGTTGGAAAAACATGCTGGGTCCATATCCACATATGCCCCAAATCCAGATAGGAATGAGAAATGAAGGAGAAAGGATTGTAGTGTGACCATGCCCCATTGGGGGGAAATTTCTCCCTCCTTTTCCCACTGTCTGTCTCTTTCGGGTAAGCACAAACACCCTCTAGTTAAATAAATAAATTTTGGGAGACCAGCAGTTGGCATAATGGCTATGTTGCTGGACTCCCATGCAGTCAACCATGGTTTGAGTCCCAGACCTGGTGACTTAAACTCACGCCAGGCACATGTGCATGCATGTCCAGGATCCTGAGCAGAGAATGGTGGAAAAGGGATTGCGGCATGGCCATCCCCTCTGGGAGGTGATTTCCTGCTTTCTGTCTCTCTTGTCTCTGTATTTTTGGTGCCTGTGTGAGTTTCAAACCACTGGGTCCAGGACTCAGACCATGGTTGTCGATATGGGAATCCAGCGACATAACCACTATGCCATCTGCTGGGCCCAGGGAGATTGTCTTTTTAAAAAGTGATATTTGCATTGAGGAGAGAGGTTGGGCTCCATTATGATGGGATTTCCTGGGCCTGTTTAATATTCAGGCTAAACGCAAGTTCCTATCCCCTCTATTCAAAGGTAACTTCTCTCTTCAAACACCTTTGACAGCCTATTGCATACAGAATAAAGTAAAATGTCTAAGTCCTTCCTAACATTACTTTATTTTCATCTTCTATTTTCATGGAGAGCCTTTCCTGACTAGCTTATCCACAATCAAATTTTGCAGTTTTGCTTGTTATACCCTATCACGCATGTTTACCTTCTTATCCAATAAAATACACACAGACGCACGCACACACACACACACACACACACACACACACACAGAAGTGGCCCTGTGGGTGCTTTATGCCTATTCAATTCCCAAAGTATAGTATATACTATATAAAAATAAAAGCATGTGTTAGATAAGGAAATAAATGAAGAAAGGGAAGAAGGAAGGAAAAGCAGGCAGGCCCTTCCAAACCTTTATCTACCTATATCTCCCTCGTGTGCCATCACTCCTTCTGTTGTAGAGTGCCACCAATGAAAGACCTTCAAAGCCAGTTTAAGTTTAAAGGGAGTCTTT